ATCCTGCTGCGGCTGTGGCGAGTGGCCAGGATTATCAATGGTAGGTGTGAGCTTCCCCTGCTGTATGGGCTGGATTTGCTGACCTTTCCTGCATTACCTGGGCTCAGGTCTTTGTTTCCTTTTCAAAGTCATCTCCTGGACCCCATGGTCTTGCTCTCCCAGCAAACTCAGTTTCATCCATCTGGTTTTTGTTGCTGGAGCCTTAATTTGGGTGGAATTTCTTTGGAGCAGCAATAATCTGCTGCTTGTGTTGGTGTGATCCTTCAGTGATGGCCAGCTCTAGCATGGCAGCATCAGGCACATTCCCCTTAAAACAACCTATAATCTGCTCTTGCATCCTGGAGGGAATGGCTCATGTCTTAGGTTTGCATGGTAGGATCCTTTTGGTGATGTTTCAATAAGGGAACAGGGTAAAACCCTGCCTTCCTGAGTTGACTTTCATGGCAGAGTAGGTCTTGCTGCTCTGATGTTCTGCTGTGACTCTGTCATCCCCTGCAGGGATGCTGCAGGGAACGTCCTGATCCCACTCTGGATCTTTCTTACTTGGATTCAAAGGGTTTATCATAAAAAGAGGAATATAAATATCCCCAAATCAGACTTTACTGAGTCTGCTGTTGAAACTGTAATTGTTGCAAATAGATGTGAATTCAGATACTGCTGAAGGAAGTGGAGCTGGAAACATCTTCTCCCTTCTCGGGGAAGGAATTTTGGGAGTAAAAAAAAAATGTGGCAATGAGATTATCTCTAATTCCTGCATGAAAGCTCAGCCTAAGTGCTGTCCTGTGCCTACGAGTCCATTCTTGGTAAGTACTCTGCACTTGATGCAGCTCCAGGTCTTATTAGTTGGAATGAAAGGCAAGGATGGCTGGGGCTGTGTCCTTTGCCTGCAGCTCCCAGCTGATGTTTTCATGGGGAGAACATCCCTGATCAGCAGAAGTGTCCGGGAAGGGGGTAAGTGTGAAAGCAGCTTTTGTGGTTCTTTTTAGTTCTAGTGAAAGTCAGAGAGAAACTGAATTTGCATGCAGCTGCCTGACCTTGGAATCTTGGTGTCTTTTAACATGCCATTTTACAGCAGAAAACCAGTAGTGCATGTACAAGTAAATCCCCTTAATCCTGGGGTGCTCCTGGTTTCCTCCCAAAGCTTTTCACCATGCCCACTTGGAGGAACAGAGAGGACAAAGAAAACCTGCCCCAAGCTTTGGTGGTGTGTGTCTGAGCCCTGCACAGTTCATGGTTCACTGCCCATAGGGACCGGGTTACAGGCAGGTGTGGGACTGTTTGATGTTATCAGTGCAAATAAGCAGCATCACTGCTTTGTCTTGAGGGAGGAACCTCGAAGCCCAGCCTGTAGCACTGGAAACACCGCACGCTTCAGTGCCTGCCTCTGTGCACATTGTTCTGTCAGCAGCCGGAGGAGAGCTCCGCTCGGTAGGAAGAACGTGATGTTCTTGATGCTCTTACCAGGCTATTTTGGTTTTTCCCCCTCAGAAAAGGGTGGGAAGAAAATGTCTTTACTGCGGGAGCTGAGTTCACATGTAAGAACCTCACAGTATTTCAGTAGAGAAGTGACACCTCCACTGGAATGAACATACTCTTTGTGCAGCTGTGCAAGGTGAAGCCAAAACACCTTGAGGATGATGTGCTGTGTCCATGTCCTGTTCCACAGGGCCAGAGCAGTCAGCCCCAAGGGTGGACGAGCCTTGTGCCCAGGCTGTGCTGAGGACAAGGCTCCCCACTACATGAAACCAGCTAAAACACAGCCCCTTTTGAGTTTTGTTGTCAGCAAAGCTGCCCCCAGTTACATCCCCCCAGGCTGTGCCAAGGGAGCGAATTCAAATTGAGGATGTGAATGGCAGTATGATTAATTCAGCTCAGTGGCTGCCTCTTTCCAGCAGGGTATTGGTATCTGAATCCCTGGGGTGGCTAATTTCAAACCCTCCTCATTAAGAAAAGCACTTGGGAAGGGTGGTTTGGAGATGACAGAACCAGAGCACGAGAGGAACACATTTAACTCCTTGAGTACAGACCCAGTGTATTGTTAACCTCCTGCTCGGGGCTGTTTTGCATTGTAAAACGAATCCACTGTGAATTGTTTCACAGGAATCATTTTATCCGTGAAAACCCGCTCAGAACAACAATTGTCCAAGCTCAAGCAAATAAACCTGAAACTTGCCACAAAGGTTGAACAACTGGAACACAGCTGTGTCGAGAAGGTAAGAAAACACTTAATTTATATGAGGTTTACCTGCTGGCTGCTCCCCAGGGTGAGCTGCTGGGAACCTTTTGCAAGGTTGCTGCTCTCAGCTTAGTTTCCTCATCAGAAAGTTGTGGGGCTGAAAAGCCACAACCCTGCCTGTACTTCCCATAGCAGCTCCTCTTGCAAAGGGATGACGGCTGCCTCTGCCCTATCCTAGCGAGGTCATCCTGTTTTACAGCAGCTCAAGATACATTACAGCAGTGGGAAGATCTATGGGAACCTGCAAAACTGTTTTAAGGTAACAGCTCTATGAATAATTTGATTTTTGTCTCCTACAGGAGCAAGAAATTGAAAGGCTTAACAAGATACTAAAACAGCATGGACTCGTCAGCGAGGAAAAGTAGGCGGCTGGTTTTCCGAGATGGGAAATCTGCCCTGGAAAGTGCAGTGTTGAAATCTACCAGACTGACCTGCAAGGTTTTTGTGTGTCTTTGCTTTCTCTTGTATAAGTGTTTTCTATAAACATTTTCTATTTGACCACGTTTTGATTAGACCTTGGGATTGCAAAAACACTTTTGTGGAAAATTAATCCCGTGTCCTCCCACAACAGTGATTTCATAAGACCTTCCTTGCACAGCTGTACAGCCCAGACTGCAAAGTAATTTAATAAAGACACATCCTTACAAGCTACAAACACATGGAAGTACCACTTATTTGAAATAAGTTCATTTTTTTCCAGTGATAATGTTCTTTGTTTGTAACATCTTGTACAAACTGGCAGTGCCACTGATAAGAACCCAGGCTGAAAGGTCATTGCTTCCCGACAAGCTGACCATTCACCGCTGGTACATCTCTCCTGTGCCAACCATTCTTTTCATAGTGTTGGTAGTTTCCTCATTTCTGTTGCTGCTTCTGCCACTTTGATATTTATGTAAGGCTTGTTTCAAAAATACCAACACACCACTCCCGTAGTTGACAATCAAATCAGCACCAAAATAGAGGCCAGCACGTGCCATCTTACGTCAAACAGTGCCTTGTTCTCAGCAGCAGATCTGACTTCTGATACTGCATTCTCTCATCCCTGCTTCCATTTTAAGTGTCAGTTTGCAGCCGCTGAGCTACGAAGTTCTTTGTTTCCACAGCTCATAAATCAATGCATTAGAAGAACTGGAATATGTGAGAACAGATGTAGGTGAGTGCACTGCTGGGAACTGTGAAGACTCCAGAAAAGCCATTTAGAAAATGTGTTCTGAAGGACCAGGCTGGTGTTTGAACACTTTTCAGGTACTAGAAGGTCTCTGTGGAGAAACTGTTTCACAGTAGAAGATTCAGTAAGTGGGAATTCTGAAAGGTGTTGACTGTAGCAGGCATCTCCAGTTGATTTCAGCTGGAATGGCCATTGAGCTCTCCTGAAAGCATCACTTAACTGGTCAGATTTGTAAAGAAAGGTATAATTAATCAGTGGTTTGGGGAAAATAGCTAGAAATATGTGGCTTATTCATCTACAAAAATAGTTAGAGCCTTATCTAATAGCACATGATTACACAGAATAATGAAGCCTACTTTCCTTTAGAGCTGTCGCTTCCCCTCCTGCATCCACACTGCTCAGCAGAGCAGCCAATGCGCTGGGAGGCTGGTGGCTCTGCATGTGCTGACTGGGCAGCCAGAGCCACCAGCAAGTTCAGACTCAAGCTTTTTTCCTCCTGGCAGAGGTAGAATTGGGAACTTTCCACTTAATGTGGGGGTTTTTCTGCCCTAAAGCTTCCGCGAGCCCTCACAAGGATTCACCCTTTCTCTCCTGGGCCATTTTAACCCAGTAGGTTGACAATTCAGAAACAACTGATGCCTCTTCACAGTGACTGGATAAACCTCTCTTCTTTAGGAAATGAACTCCAAGTCAGAAAAAGCAGAAATGTGGTTTGTTTGAGGGGTTTTATGAATACTTACCTCAGACAAATGGGAAGAAAAAATCAAAGGGTAATTTGGCATTAATGGTGGGCCAGGCTTTATAGCCTGGCTCTGCAGGTAAAGAAACATCCGTGAAAACAACAGAACTGGTTATAGGAATAGTCCTTTCCCTTCCTGAGGGAAGCTGCAACGAAAATACAAATGGTCATTAGCTTCAGCCTTCTCTTTGTACAACTGCTTTGTTTGTGCTGGGTTATATTCTCAGCTGTTACTTGTAAAAAGTTTGTTTTTTCATATACAGCTCCATGTGTTTTCATGAATGACGTATAGTTTTTTATTGAAGTGTGTTTTGGCCAGTAGCCCACAGTTGTGTTTGAGTTGGAACAGAAACTGTTGGGTATAATAGAGTCTAATATGAAGTGCTACTTTTAGATAAAGAGATTAACTGGGTCACTGTTGCAGAGCTGATACCTAAGCAAAACAAGCCATTCTTTTTGTCTTAGGTCCTGTAATTGAATTACATACCTGCTTTAGTGTGGTGGTAGTGATCGTTGCTGTAACATTCACTATTCTGGCTTGTGGATTGACTAGGGATCCATATTTAGTCCACCTCACTTCTATTTCAAGTGATACCGGTATTTGGCATGAGCTCTGAAAAGTGTTATAAATTCTCTCATTGTCTGACTCATACAGAAACAGCCACATTAATTATTCATGTTATTAAACTGGCAGAATGCCCCCACAAAGCTGGCTCCAGGAGCTTCCCAGTACTCCTACACCATGCCTGTGCCCTGGGCTGCTGCTTCTGCAGGCAGCACAGGCATTGCAGCCTTGGCTCAGGGGTGTCCCAGCAGTTTCTCCATAGGTGACAAACTGACCCTGTAAACAGCACTTCAAGCAGGGCTGTGACTCTCAGTGATAGTGCTGAGCTGGCTCTTTTTAGTAGGAAGACTTATTTCAGCAGAAATCCTTAGCTCTGTCAGGGCAGAATTTTGAAGCCTACAATCTTAGGTATTTTTAGGTATTTCTTTGTGAACTGTCAAGTTTCTGGTTACAGAAATGATTCACTGTTTAGTTGCAAAAGCCTGTTAGAAATCTATATGCAAGCTGTTGCTGAGGGCATGCTGCCATTCAGCACGTGCCAAGCAGCACTGCCTGACACCAACAGCAGGATCTGTGCTGTTGGGAGGAGAAAGACTAGTACAGAGGATGTTAGGAATTAATGTAGTGTTTGGGTCACTCAAATATACTGTTTCTGTGCTTTAAAGGATTCTTGCTCTTACTCTAACCTGATATAAGCACCAAGGACAAGCACTGATTCTGTTACTTTGCTCTTTCAACCATACCTATTGTGCTTCATCCCCATCTGAAGAGCAAGAATCTAAACTGGCTAGAACTCATTCTGTACCTGACATGTTGTCCTGATTCATAACTGAGAAGCCTGGATAGCAGCTTGATTAAAGGTAAACCCTGTCTTCTAGAGCAAGAGCTAAACTCCTCATTTGTGACTATCCCACGAAGTCTTTCCTCCAGTTTGTCTCTGCATTTTTTTCCCTGTAGGTCCGTATTTTTCCCTGAGAAGCCCAGGCTGGTGCTGCAGTACATGTACAGGTAGAGGTCTCAGGAGGGAGGACAGCAAGAGTGAAGGGGACAGTGGTAGTGGTGTAACTTTCACCTGTTCTGAAATGTAGAGGTGAGTTATCGGCACCCAGTCGAGCACATCCTGGGCTTGAGAATTCCCAAATGAGGCCACGTAGTCAGGGAAGCTTTGTCCCTTCAGTAGATCCAGGAGGGCCTGAGTCAAAGGCTGGCATTTCATAGCTGCTGTCATTCTTCCAGGGAGAAAAAAAGAGATGCATTAAAGCAAAATCTATCAGTTTGGCACAGTAATAATTTCTCCTTGCTCTCATGCGCTGTTCAAGCCTTCTGGCTACAGCTGCTAATGTACACAATCTTTTCAAGAGAAAGACCCTTGTTAATTAAATGACATTTTTTATAATTAAATACTCCATTCCCAATACTCCTCCAGCTGTATAAATGTCCCAGGACCTGAAATAGATGCTAATGGAAAGGGCTGTCAGCAAGTTTAAAAGCACTAAATAATAAAAGAAATGGCCTCTTACCGTAACTTACAGCCTGATATCATGTTATAACCAAATAACACTGGGGCTCTGGCTCCCTGTGCCACCAGACAGTCCTGGGCAGATGTACTTTGCAGGATGGTAAGTTGACTGTATTTGTTAGTATTTTGAATGATGCCAGATGTAACACACGGTTAAAGGGAAATTCAATACTTGATGTATATCATGAAGAAAGAATCCTCAGTCATATCCTTAAAATATAGCTGAAAATGCTACAATAGCTCAAGACTCCTCTTACACTGCAAAGAAGCACTGGAGCGTACAAAGAAGGTCTGAATCTGTTTCACTAAACAGTCTCAGGAGATTGCAGTCAGGACTGAGTCATAAGCCACTTCTAAAATACAGCCCAAAAGCACACTTTTACACTGGGTAAAGAACAGATAATGTATTATAGATGCCCGTGCTAGAAAGTGTTTGTGAGGCTGGACCAGTGAAAGTGCTGCAGACAATTTCAACAGGGAAAGGATATCCTTGTGGCCGGAAGCCTGCTCTTACAGGCAGTCCAACAACATAACCAGGATTACCACTGAGAGGAACTGGTGTTGTATTTACCTGCAATGCAAACATACGGTATTAGTTCTCATCCTGTACTGAAATGGTTGGAAAACATAGAAATATTTCAGTTATTTTAGGATTATTAAGGATTGTTCAAGGATTGCCTTGAACAATGATAGTGGTAAGATGGTAACAGTAAGCTTGTAACAATTCTCTTAACATTGGTGCAGGCTTTTCTTTCACTGGATACAGTTATAGAGAGTCACAAGATGCATCTTCCAAATGTGAAAACCAGACTTTGGAGGCCATTATTGCCCACTTCTCCGTTGCTGCCTCATTCGTGTACCCAGAGCAGGTTATATTTTACCTTGCTGCTAACAACTGTTCCAATTCAAGTTTAATAAGTTTTGTAATTAAATGTCTTTCACCAAGTCACCCGTAACATCTCCAGCAGTTACCTGAGTAAAGCTGATTTCGAAGCTCTGCTCTATTGAAAGTGCTTCTTTGTTAATTGCCCCCAAGACAAAAGCACCAGCTGCTTCTATTATTTCTCCTGCATCTGTGTATGTAATGTGATAGCTCACCTGAAAATTCAACATTTTAGATATTAATTAGAATAAATACGTAAGAGGGTGAAACTAGAGAAGAGGAATTTAGAAGTATGCAAGTATTTTTTCTTTCTTCCTTGCTTAAGGAACACTCAAGTACACAGTAAAGATACGCTACAGCCTCTAAAGGCTGGAGCCTCTTCAAAACTGGCTTCTTGGAAAACCTCTTCTGAGCATAAGGCCAATGTTCATTTAAGGTTTAAAGCTGAGATGACGTGCACTGTGTGTTCCTCTGCCTCTGTCACCACTGTGCCTGAAGTCAACATCTCCCAAGCATATTGGAGAGTCTAAGCTCATTTTATTATCTGTTATGCCATATACACACAGTCATAATAGAAAAGGATTTCATCCTGTCTCCATGTTATGTTGCATATAGTTATTATTTTGTTGCAAAATACTCCCTTTTTCCCAAAGTCAGTGTTTCTCCTGTCACATTTGCTTGGGAGATGTCAAATACATGGAAACCATGCAAGGCCCTTCTCACATCTTTGCAGTTTGTGACTCAGAAGTGATTTGATGCATAGATGCTTTCCATCAAACATGAGGAGAAAAAGAACTGTCATACCTACCCCAAGAACTACATTTATGCACAGTTCATCCAAAATCATGGGGAGCCTGAGGACATCACTATCATTAAGTAAAGTCCGCGTTCCATTTAGAGACTGGACAGATACGGACTGGACAGAAATATTCACCTGAAAAGCAAATTCATGTCATTTCTGAGTATTGTGTAGAATTATTTTTGGCTTTTTTTGTATTGTATTTGTGACCCTTCTGGGTTCTGTCAACAGTCCTCTGAACAACTACTATATTACATTCTGGTACCGTATTTTTACTGTAAAGATTAAGGATAAAGTCCCTGTTCTGATGAAGTCAGTGAAAAAAGCTCCCACTGACTATAACCAAGTAAGAATTTTTCCCCCAGCTCTTCCCAGTAAGTTAGAAGGATACTCACCATCTGACTTGACTTGGGCACCTAGGGAAGAATAAAAGAGCACATTTAAATGACAGCAAACATGACTTAATACAAGGAGCAGCTAAGTAAAGCATTTAAGGCTTAACTGCTTTGCCAATTTAACTATCATTACAATAACTTTTATATCATGGAAGTTACTGGAAATACAATACGGTAGTGTGAAAACAATGGCTGCTCTTCATGGCTAGTAGGCAAAATCTTATAGTCCAATCCTCTACTTCCTCTGACAGTTACTGGAAAATGTCTTAGTGACTTCCATCAGTTTTCCCTCAGGCCTAGCTAGACTACATCCCCAACAAACATACAGTGCATTTGCCAAGTAGTAGATGAATCCAGTGTTTCCCTTGGACACTGTATTTGCAACTCAGAAACACTGGAGAAGTTTACTTGCATCAGAAAGGTGATGACTGTTATTGTGCCTCATAGCGTTTGACCCATTGAGGGCGTCAGAGAACATTGTTCCTACTGCAGCTCTGTGCAACAGCACTTGTAACTAACCGGAGACTGCCAGTTCAGGAAGTCTGCCAGGCTGTTCTTTCCCGAAGGAATAAAGAGGTTTTGTTGTGCCGCTCTGATAGTAATAAGTCCATAGCTTCACAGTACAATGAAATGAGAAGCAAGAATCCCTCTTGTAATACAGCACATGGACATGCACAGTTGCCCCACAGGAAAATTTCCACTGAAATTTCATGGAAGCACAGAAGTGTCAGCCCAAGGTCATCAGTCATATTTGTATCTACACCTTGAGGTATAGCTCAGCCATCAGAATGCCCCTGGGTCTGCTGGACAGGCCAGGGGAGAGAGCAGAGATTAAGTGCCACAATTACCAAGAGCTTCATATCCCTCAAGCTACCTGGCCTGGCAGTGAGTATGGGTTCATTATGATGGGGTTTCTGAAGGAACTGCTGTACCAGTCCTCTTACCGGGGGCTCCCCCGGGTTTCTGCCGTATCTTTTGCCAGCAGCTCCACCTGCTGGCACTGGAAGGGCTCCCTGCTCTGCCCTGTCCCCAGTACCAAGTCACTTTTCTGTTGTCATACCCCTCTTCAGCTCCCTTTGGGAAAGGGAGCTTCCTACAGACCATCTCCAGCATCTACTCAGCGCTCTCCAGTTCTTGCATCTGATCCTTCCTGAATGTCCAACGTACTTTGGACAGAATTCTGGCCTCTCCTGAGCTGGGCTGCTGTCACTGGCAAGCAGCACACGGGTTCTAGTGAGAAAGGGGAATTCACCTTTGAATTCAAAAACATTCATCTGCTTGGAGCTTGTCCTGAGGCAAGCTTGTTATTCCTGGTTCTACAGCCACCAAGAACGTCAATTCTGCATACACACAGAAACACTCAATGCCCTTCTGAGGCAGAGTTTTCTCTAACTCTTCCCCAGCAGGATGACCAAAAGCTGACATCTGTGTGCAACAAATGTGCTGATTTTAATGAGGTCCTCAATAAGCAGGAGAATGATCCCACCTGTGAGAACATGAACTATTTAAGGGGCTTTCCTTTCCTGTTGAAAGGGGATTTATTTCTACATGAGACATCATCCTCCGCTTCAAAAAGGAATGAAAAAGTAAGCTTAACTTTGAAAAATAACCACAGGCTGTATTTGGGAGTAGGCTGGATAAAAACAAATTTGCTCTCAGTGGGTTAAAAGGTCATGTTGTTGGAGGACTATAAAAGGAAGGCTCAGTATGCATGTACAATACCCTACTATTAAAAACTGAGGTGTGTAAGAAAGGTGTATCTATGCAGAGGATTAAACCTTACAAGTTCTTCTTTAAGTACAAAGGTTTCTCAGCTCGTTAAAGCTCAGACTTCTTATGCACTCTGGTAACAGGCTTCTTGGAAGAGCTTGAACAAGCACAAAAGCCTAAAGCTGCTGCCACTGCAGTAAGCACAAGCTCAGCAACAGGCTTGTCTCTTCAAGACCATTATTTTTGTTGGCCAAGCAGAGCACAGTAAATGCTTCTGCTACCAAAGCCTGAAGTAAAAACATTTCCCAAGGCTTTCTGTAGAAAAGTCCATTGCACAGGGAGGTGGTTTTTCCCAACCCAGTAAAGCACCATACTCTTTAGCAAATAGAATTGACTTAAATCTGTAGATACAAATGATGTATCAATGGTCAGCTGTATGACTGCTACAAATCATACTCACTGCTAAAATGCTGGAGTTGATGTAGAACAGCATACTAATTGCTTGAATGTTTTCGCATTTTTCCACACTTACTGATCTAATGCATTTTGTAGCCTGGTTTACTAAAAACCCTGGAAAAAAGTCACAAAGAATTACTGAAGGAAGTTAAAGTGTAATTATAAACACCAGAAATAAAAATCTAAGCACCTCAAGTATAAGTAAGTGTAAATCCTATTGCAGGTAAGGGTTTGTGTGAGCTATAAAGACTGATACTTTCTTAGATTCTGCCAAAGTGCTGAGACAAAACACTTTTTTAAGAAGCTTAATAAAAAGAAGCTTAATAAAAAAGCTTAATAAAAGCCAGCTGAAAATGTATTACTTCAGTTTTGAGATCTTATGAGATTTCTTCATTTCACAAGAGACTTCAGTTTTCTTACGGTCAGCATGATTGTTATGATACCATATTTAATAACAACAGTGGGGTTTGGAAACTGTGTGTTTGGTTGTGGCTTTTTCTTTTTCCCTCCCTCTCTGCAGAGGAGAAAAAAAAACTGTGTGAAAGATTAAAATGTAGAGCTCAAGCCTGCAAGTCTGCCTTGACTTGCATTCAGGCTGTGAAAGGAACCTCACTGTTGTAAGAGGGATCTTACAAAGGTTGCCCGGTTAGGTCTTGCTTTGTGTAATACCCTCTTCCCTCAGGGTGTCACCCTTGTGCTATTCTATTAAACCAGTTATGCCAAAGAGGATGTTTTATTGTTGGATAAACACCCCATTAACAAGATTCTCAAGGATTTACATATCTAACTTTGAATGTTTAACATAGATGCAACACAACTTCCAACCTATGCCTAAAAATAAACCCAGAGGAGTGGAAACATGAACAGTTTGTTCATGAATCCTTATCTGAATTTACATCTCTGTGTGTGCCAATTTACTGACTGATTAAGATCAAGTCAGAGCAGAACACTCTAAAGCAAACGAAACTTGAATTCAAATGCAGTTTCTAACCTGCAGGATTTTCATCAGAGCACCAAGAGGAGACCACAGGACTAGGCAGTCTCAGGAATGCATCCACTGTCTGTATAGGAACACCATACTGCCAAATAAAAGAATATATTCCAGTGTACAGGTATGCTTCAGTTCTAGTTCACTTTTTAAGTAAGCCAACACAAAATGCTACACTTCTTATTTTTACATTTCAAAATTTAAAGGCCAAGATAAAGTTTGTCTCTTCCAGAAGAACTGCATGTTTTTAAAAGCAGATGCAAACAATGCTTACTTCAATCTAACACTAATTGCATCAGATCATTATTTACCTGGTATCTGTAAGTTTCATTTGCGTCAGACAGATTCTGATCATCTGTGTTCATGTCCCAGCTCTCAGGCTCAGCACTGAACGTAGCACTTCCAAACTGCTTAAGCAATTGATCAAAATTCTCAGAAGTAGGAATTTCAGGGGAACTGAAGGTGAGTGCTTGTTCATCTGTCAAAACATTTTAAAGAATAGGAGAACTTTGGGGATAAAAGATACAGAAACAGCATTTAGTAACAATTTTTTTCCTTCTGGAGTCATTAAAAACTCAGCAATAGAAAAATATTAACACAGCTTTTCTCTAAGAAAAGCTTTCTATTTTATTTAAAAGAAAACCTAAGCAGTATCTCAACCCATTATTTCCCCCAGGTCCATGAAAGCACAAACGTAAGGAAAAGGGTAAGTCCCTTACTCTCAAAACCATGGTTTCTAGCAGCCTATGTTACAAAACAAAGACTTGTCAGTTAGTGTCTACAGATCCCATTGAAGTATTCAGATAATTTAATTCTGACTGTATGTTAGTTAAGAGAACACAGCACAGATAACTCCTTCCCAGCAAGTCACTTCTTCCCAAAGCTGGGCATAATGGATTTGTACCACTGGTGGCTATTACATAGTTACAGCAACTGATCAGGAAGGAGTTAGTTTCCCATAAGACAACTTTAAATATTATGATGATAAATTATTTAAAAACAAATAAACCCCACAAAACAGTTTATTTTTTTTTCCAACAGAGAAACTAAGAATTAGAGATGTTTTATCTTCACAGTTTCACAAGTGAAAGGATTACAACATAAGGACGGTGAACCTGCAGAATAACCAGTTTTTTGACAGGTTTAGTTAGTTCTAATTTTAGTCTGTTTCTGGTATCTAAAGAGCTTACAAAAATAACACCACAATGCTTAATATTAGCAACAGTTCTTACTTACAGTTTGTAGCATGAATGCAGAAAATACTGGGATTGACTTGGTCGATTAATTTAAATACTCTTTCTGGTGGATTTGCTTCAACATCAAGTGAATATATGGCAGCTTTCTGACTACACAGACGGCTGTCACCTCTGCAAGCAATAATAATAAAATCAGTGACCTACTTCAAGTGAGTATTGACCGTGTTTTCAAGTTCTTTTCATATATGTAGGCAGCATCAAAAAAAAGCACGAGATTACTGTTTTAACATAACGTACTGCAATTGTGTCTCCTTTGAAGGCTTATATTGTTTTTTACTGTGTGCTTAGTAATAAATAATAGAGAATTCTCCAACAGCTTTTATCTAGCAGTGGAAATTGAGCAGCAACATGAAGAAAGGTGGGAGACGGGAAAGGGGAGAACCTGACACTAATAATATTAGAGCTAAAATGAGAAGTTGGATGGGATCCATGTGGTGTGAGACACCACAAATTGCAGAGTGTCCCACACAGTATACACAGCTCAGAAGCACTCTTATTTATACAACACAAGTGGGAAGTATGACCTTTAGGGTGACATAATGGCATGTAGACAAAAAAAAAAGGTCAGTTTTGTGAATATTGGATTAATATTCACTTGGGGCAGGAAGTCCTACTTGAGATACACGTAAAAGAAATGGCAGAGACAGGAGGGTGAAATAACTCACTCCAGTCTAACAAAGTATTTGTAGATGTGCCATGGGCTCATCCACAGCAGCCCAGAACCGTGGCAGTGAATGTGCCAGTTCATACCCTGAAGAGCACTGGTGTGTCCTACATGCCGGAAATAAAAGATGGTGATTGCTGTGAAACTGGTGCTGGGGCAGGGTTAAAACAGTCAAGGAGAGATATTGAAGAAGTGAAATGCCTTTTAAGTATGGAGTTAAACTCTTCCATGAGGTAAAGCATTTGTTAGTAGCATTCACGTCCTAAATCAAATGCCCTTTCTCTGCTGTTTCTGAGGCCACATCGCCTCTTACTTGGGATCAGTCAAACCCTTTCAGTAACTAACACAATTACACTGATGTTTATAAATCTAGATGTAAATAATGAGATCCACAGTCCTTGCAGCCATTGAAAATCCCATGGATTTTCCTGTAAAAGAAACATTTCACACAAAAGACTTTGGGAAAAGAAACAGAACTTCATTTTATACATTTCTAGTTGACAAAGACAGAACAGTCACCCGAGACAATGAAACTGTCACTCAGGAAGGCGCTGATTAGACCTTTCTGATATCTATAAATGGGAATCAGTAGTCATTGTGTGCAAGAACAATAAGAACCCATGGTCTGGGATGACTGCTAATTCAAATTTCAAAGCACCAAGAATAAACCCCAGTGTTCACATTGACATGACTTATGCAGAAGGTGGGTTGAAGAGCTGTACTTTTTGTTCTGAAAAGTCACCAAGAGACTTTTTTACATTACAGATTTGAAGGAGCTTTCTTAACTCCTTTTTGAGGAGATGAAATTGGGTGAGAGTGGTTTCACAGAGACTGTAAATAGCAAAGAAATAATTATTGGCATTAACTTATTGATATAATGTTAGATTTCACTGTTTCTAATGTGACGGACTGGCAGTGAGGCAGCAGGTTGGGATGCTGACTTGTAAAATGAGGACCAGAACAATGCTCAAACTTGTTCATTAAGCCCTGAATTGATCAAGTTTCTATCTGATATCATAAACCATAATGAAAGAGGTTACTGATAAATTGCTGATGACTGAAGGGGGTGACCAGATGGTCCCATGGTATCAGCTTTAACTCCAGACACTGCATTGTATTGATTTAAGTTTAAAGATGTATTATTCTTGGCCCAACAGAAGGTATCACTACTTAAGTACCCATAAACAAGGGAAGAGAAGAAAAGCAAGGAGTATGAGTTCAGAAATGAGGGAATAAGTCAAAGAGAAACAGGTGGGAGGACAATTTGTTGTTCTACCTGGTTGGGGACAAAAGTTTTCAGGCCTAGTGCAGGAAGGACTGGTCAAAGGGTAGGCAGGAGTTAGAATGGAGAGGGAGAGTGGATAGGATTTGTTAATAGAGCCCTTACAGATGCATGCAGCAAATAAGATTTTACTTCACACAGCTGCTTATGCACTTACGTGACCACAGGAACTGAACAGGTAGTGAAGAGGCTGAAATCTGCTGCACTGCAATCAGGGTCACAGCAGCAATTCACATCACATTCTGCCACCAGCAGGTCACAAACACACAGCTTGGCAACTGAGGGGGGGGGAGAGATTGAAATTAGAACTGAAACTTTACACACTACAGCATGTTCCCCAACACTTCCATTCTTCACCTCGCCTTGTTTCTGACAATGGTCCAAAGTCTACATCCAAATTCATGTGCCTTTAAAAAGTCATTTTCTAAAGCTATCTTTTTTGCTACTTAGCAAATCTATGTGGGACACAAGAACAAAACCAAGGGCATACTAAAACCTGCTGCTGTGTTCCCTATGAAATCAAAAAAGCAATGTTATAGGAGTTTCAAAGGTATGAAAATATACCCAGCCCTGCAGAGGGGGGAAGAGATATAAACAAGACTCACTTCTTGCTTGTTCAGCTTATTGGGAAAACAAACAGAAAAGGAAACATTTTGATAGAGCAGTGAGATGTTTACAAGTATTGAGCATGTCCCAAGGTCCGGTAATATGTTTTCCCGATGTGCCAATGTAACCATAGTTGACTTTGTTGTTTCTCCTCTCTTTAGACACTGTGAAATATTGTAATAATAGAAAGTGCTACCAATACTGTAAGCTGGCTCGATAAAATACACTTGGCAACTTCTTAAACATTCTTGGGTTTTCAAGTTTATAAATTCAAACAACAGCTATTACTCTAATGAAGTGGGTTTGAGAGATGGTATTCTGTAATAAATACTGACTTAAGAACAACAGAGTGAAGAAAATGAAGCCCAGCTCTGTAGGGAAGACATTCAAACAACATTCATTTTCCTAACTAATGCTGCTTTTATTTTGACTCTTGCCCATTTCTTTATGGCCTCTCGGATGTTCTCTGACCATCTGAACAGTATCCAGGTATTTCCTGGAATCTCTGATGCTCTGACTGTTCCGTTCACTGAGTTTAGCACTGCAATCCTTAGCTCACCTCGTAAACAAGGTAAGTTTAAACACAGATGATTAGGTTGGGAGGTTGTATCTCTGAGATCAGAGATTTAAGTCTCTTTTTCCCTAAGGATGGGTACACACCGGGACATGTTTAATTTGGCAAGTAACCCAGGCAAGCTGAACACTTGGCAACAACACTGGGAAACCAAAAGTTAAAGTATACCTGCCGATTAGGAGACAGTAGGAAACCAAACAACGATCCGTCATCTATCTTGCCATAGCATCACTATGAACACACAGAGCTGGGGCCGAGTTCCGAGTCTTGGAGCAAACTGTGTGTGCCACCAGCTCAGTTGGGAGATCTCCAGCACACACAGGGTGAGCCTGGGTCCCCTCTGCCAGGCCAGGCTGTGCCCCATGGGCTCAGAGCAGGGTGCTGGGTGGGCAGGGGGACCTGTATCCTGGCCGTGCATGCCAGGATCAGCGTGCCCAGCGGCTGTGTAGCGGTACTGTAGGGTTGTAAACCTGCCTGAGGAAGCCCTGAGCCCCGCCTGGCCTGGGGTGCTGCTAGAGAGGGGTGCTCGGAGCACAACTGCAGCACAGCCCCGGTAAATCCCCACGGAGAAGCAGCTTTCCCTTGCCCGGCAATAGCCGCCGGTGCCGCGCAAAAGCCCTAAGGCACCCACCGTCCGTAACCGGAGCGGGCCCTCTGCGGGTCCGCGCCGGGACGGCCGTGCTGGTCTCCGGTGGCGCTCCGGGATCCTCCCTCGGCTCTGCTGCCCGGAGCGGCGGCGGGAGGAGGAGGAGGAGGAAGGCCCCGAACCCCAGCGCCGCCGCCATGACGGACGCTGCCGGCCGCCCCTAGCAACGGCGCGGTTGCCAGGGAGCGTGGGGCATCACGGGAAGCGTGAGTTCCCGCCCTCCCGGGGCATGACGGGAGGGTGTCTGAGGTAGTGGGGCTGGATGGGGACGGGGATGTGCGCTCTGGCGCCATGGCGGGTGGCGAGGGGAGGCTGGGTCGTGTTTGGCTCTTGCTTCCTGCCGCCCTCAGCTCCATTCGTCGCAGGGAGACCTGGGGTGAGGCGACACACTGAGCCTCTGCCTGGGTATGGCCTCCTGTGAGGCCACTCTGCTCACCTCAGGGCCGCCATCATGGCTGCCTCAAGCACCCACTTGTGCCACCCAGCCCTGTCAGAAGCCGCCCAGCGCGGCTGTAACTTGGGTGTCGGTGGCCCTCGGTGCTAAGCCAAGGGCAAGAGGAAAAGGCTTAAGTTGTAGCAACTGAAGCATTAGCCATGTATGCGGTTTGGGCAAAAGTTCTGCTGGAAAGCCATACGCAAAGGTGGGGAATGGCCGCTTGGGAGCTGTAAAATCTTACGTTTAGTGTATTTTTGCAACTTTTTAGTAATCTCAAGCCAATTTTTAAAGTCCATTTAATTTCTTTAGAAAATTCCATTTCTCCTTTTGAAAACAATTAATGTCCAGCGCATCTGTTTGTTCATCAGTCTTACCAGTAATCCTGCAGTATATACAGGTGTTTTTATGCTAACTTGTAAAAAATGAGCTAGAGAGCGACTGAATGATCACAGTTCTTTACGGCTATCTTACAAATACCAACATCCAGGCTTCAGTTCCAACCAAGAGATGACTTTTTAACCTTTGAAGTCTTGTGTTCTGCATTTCCTGCTCAAAAGCACCTCTACAACGTTTGTTCCTGCATCAGACTAACAAGTGCATTGTTACAGTGTGCCTTCTTTTTCTGATCAGGGTCGTTCCCGTCCTCTTGAAGGGAAGCGCTGAGAGCTGCAAGGCCACAAGAGGGCATGTTCTCTTTCACGTCGATCCACTTGACTGCTGCCCATGCAACTTCACGTCGACAGTGCGTATTTAGTACATTGATGTTCCAGATTCTGCTGAGAACTGAAATGATTCCACAAAGGCTTTGTCACCTTCACACTCTCCTCTTGCCGCACAAGAGCCCATTACTCACAAAGGAGTTGATGAGTTATGCAAGACAAACTGTTGTCTGCCTCACGCAGTACAAGGCTACCAAGGTCATTTGATACTATCAAAGAGCTGGTAACGTAAGATGGATTTGAAATAGCTCCGTATTACGTGGCGAAGTCCTGGAGTCATCCTTCTCTTTGGAAAGAAGACTTAATACTTCAAAGGTGACATGAAGGTGAGAATCCAGCATACTCCATTGTACCTCAGACATCTGTGTGCCTTATGTGTAGACAGTCTCACCTGGGTGTCCAGTCTGCATTCTTTCTGTTAAATATAACTTAAAGTTACTGTATTTGCCTTCTTCCTTGGGGAAGAAAACCCAGTGTGTTTAGTCTCTTTGTTTCTTTGCTGTTTCTGAGATTACAATGGAAACATTCATGCTTTTCCTTTCAGTAAGGTCTCCTCAATGATGTTACTACTGTTGGGTCTGGCTTTTTTCTCAGGCTTGAAGAGTAACAGTAACTTCAAGTACATTTCCATTTTGAAAAGAGACTGTAAAAATGGCATCAAGGGCTCCTTTTTCCTTCTCACTAAGGCTGTGCCAGTACTGGCTGCAGACATCAAATAGAGTCAGTGCCTATATTTGGAGGAAATCACGGGAATCTTTAAAAAGCAGTCTCTTTCCTGGTCCCAGAGCAGAGGAACATGTTACCTTTGCCAGTTTACTCAGATTTGCATATTCATAGCTGTGGTCAGGACAGATATTGATGCACTACCCTGAAAACTCTGATTTCTTTGCCCCTGCTTAATAACACACATAGGCACAGGTTATAGAAATCAGGCAAGGACCTGTTAGCAGCAGAGTAAGAAGACTTGCAGCTTCAAGAAGGAGTCCTTAGGCAGGTAACTGTCCCCTGAATAAAGGAGACTTGTTTTCCTGCCTGTTAAAAGGCAAGTGAAGCTCTTTACTTTTGTCACTATGAAGTGACTGAAGTTTCCGCATCCTCTTGCTTAAGGGAAAGTAAAAAATAGATTTGGGAGTTTTACTTCTAGCAGCTGTGGGGCTTTTCTCCACTTCCAAGGGAGAGGGAAGCCTGCAGGAGGGAGCAGTCTGAGTGTGTGGCTGTGCTCTCCTTCACTGCCCCTTGAGATCAGACTCTCATCTCTCTGGGTGAAGCTGACTTGGGGGCTTACAGTCCCTTGGACTTCTTGACTAATCTCCCATACTATGACTATGTATGGTCAGTTGACAAGGATGAGGATGTTTCTCCTCTGTAGAAGTCCTGCACATTTGGAAATCTGGAATTTGGTTTGGAGGCTTGGAGGGAGAGTGGTGCTTAGTTTATGGTTTATCATTGTTGGTTGTATTCTGTCTTCTATATAACACGTTCAACTGCAGCATCATGAGATGAGCTCATTAATATTAAAGCACCCCTACTTGTTAGTTTAAATGTTTAATGCATTTAAACTGAGTAAAAAGGGCCGTTGACAATGCACAAGGGAAAATATAATGTAATACATTCTGTTTTGCATCCAGAATTACTTTGCAAAGCTGATGGTGCGCAAGGGACCAGCCTCCTTGATGAAAACCAAGCCTTGCTGAAAGCACAGATTGCACCCTGAATGCATGTGGGCAGGAGCTGGATGAATAAGAGGTATTATTTCTTACTGCATCTACCATTGAAATAGAATAGAACTGGGCAACTGTTCAATAGCAAAGTATAATTAATCTGGTTTCCTAATGATTGTTTTCCCCATAGCAAGTTAGGGCTTTACTCAGACCAACAATTCACCTAAAATTCATTTCCAGTAGTACTTGTAAAAGAAGAACAGGATTAACATAGTAGTCACTTCAGTTTCCTCTTTATTAATGTTTAAGTGACTAATTCTAAATTCCTTAACTGTAGGAAGAGATAGTTCAATAAAGGCATGATATCTACCCAGATATATGCACACATAAACAAAATGTATTAAGTCTTTCAGAATGTAACATTAAAAAAATAGATTAAAAAAAAACCAAACAAAATATGCTTTTGTCATTAAAAAAACAAGGGAAGACAAAAGCCAAGTATAAGAAAAACCTTTTGAAAAGTTCCACCATCACAAAAGCACCCTTGTGTTAAGACTTCTGAAGCAGGTTCCAAAGAGCAAACTCCGCAGAGGGTGGGACAAGATTGGGACATTGCTAAATACTGCATGTTCTCCATCACAGAGATCCTGATTTATCCCATCAACATGTGGGCATTAATAATTAAAAAGGGTACTGTGATGCTCACAGGGGAGGTCCTACAAAATGGAAATTCGAGCAGTTGAAGATGCAGTTGATTGCTGTCTATGAAAAAACATTTGAAGGGATTTACTGTAGCACTATTTTAGTCATATATTAAGGAGCAAGATTTTGATGTGCATTTAAGCACTGTAGAGTGGCATTTGCAATCCAAATGTGGCAGGATCAAGTCTTGTCAAGCACCATAAAAGCAGGGTAAGTAACTGATTGTAAGCACAAATAAAACTAACACAGATGTCCTTTATGAAATGCTAGGACTATGCAAACCACATTAGGTATGTTTCAGTTTCTCTCATCCAAGCTTATTTAATAATTCAGTTAAATGTTATTTTTAACTCTATAACTTTGACCACAGTCCTCACCTTTTAAAATTACTTGAAATTTAAATAATTACTTTAACACATCTAAAACTATTGCAGTTTCTCAGAACAAGTCACTCGAGTTTTCAGAACAGTGCACCAGTATCTGTCCTGAATATAGCTACAAATATGAGAATCTAAGTGAGTAAACTGGCAAAGTCCACGTGCTTTTGTGCAGTGACAGAAATTCTACCCATGGACACATATAATTTTGGTTAGACAGCTTAATTTTATTTTTTTTGACATTTAAACTAGTTCAGAATTAGCTCAATAAGCAGAGTCTTCATAAACAATGATGGATGAGGTGTTCAAGCTATTTGTGGGCTCTTTCTGAACACACCATATACAAGGCTTTTAACTGCTCAGGTTTTAGTGTTAGGAGGTTTTTAGTACTAAAAAATGCTCAACAGAGTTACTGTCATGAAGGAGTTAGGAATTCTCTAGGAAGTGGAATTCCTAGAGAAGTAATTCCTGTTACTTTAAACGTTTAAAATGAGGATAAAATCCTAAGAGGAGCAGTTTTGTATGTGTGTTACTTGATCTAAATATGTATTTTCAGCATGGTGCCATTCAAAACAATTTTACCACTGACCAAAAGTTAGAGTCACCATTACACTGCAGTATTCTGTGTTTTATAGAGAAAGTGGATGACTTGGTTGAGATTCTAAAGGAACCGAGGGAGAAACTGATAAGCAAAACAAACCAGCGCTCCATAACAGCTGGGATTTGGGAGGTCCTTGTTCCCATCCTGAGATGGTGATCTTCTGACTCAGCATCTCCTCCTATCTCTTCCATGTGAAGTCTGGCATCACCCTTTCACATTAGTTTTCTATTTGGTTTTAACTGTGCTGTCTTGAACTTCTTCATCTTTTCAAGGCAAACATGAGTTTTGCTCCATGACAGATGACTTTAAAAACTCAAGCAGACAAGCATTTTTAATTAGAGTCAAACCAAAGTCAAATCAGGCTGAAATAAACTGCATTCTGGTCTAGCACAACATTAGCCCTTAAATAAATAGCGAGAAGCCTGGGCTGCCTCTGTACAGCAGATGGCATTACAGGTAATATTTATCATACTCCAATCCCAAGGCTAAGATAGCAGGGAGGGAGCATTGACGTCAGCTACAAGTGAATCAGTCTTAATACAAGCTGAAAAACTGCTTGTGCCTTCCACAGTTGAGTACATTGCACAGCACTTCTGCTTAGAGTTCCCCATTGCATTTATTGGTCTGAGCAAGCCTAGCAGGAAGAGTTCATTTTGTTTTGCAGCTTAACTGAACTGATGGAAGTGGATCTTGGACTTTGAGGTGGGAAGATTCCACCCAGCTGCAGTAACCAGGGGAATGCCCTTTGCCCCAGTTTTTGTGCCAAATTTGTGCATTTGAGAATTTTAAACAAATATCACTTGGCAGGATATTGACCCTCAGGGTACAAGAATAATGCAGAGTGAGGCTGCAGGAGGGCATGTCCTGAGAGGGATTTATGGGAGACCTATCAGGACTCGTACTGAACAGTGGGGAAACCCAAATGTCCTGTTTCATTTCCAGCGGTTGTTCTTCGTCTCATGGGAGCTAAGTGAGCTGAATGAAAACCAACAGCAGTTTTGCATCTGGGCACAGTGTGAGTGAAAGACTACAGTGCAGGAGTGAAAGAGTTCAGCAGTGGTCACTAATTCTCATACAGATGATGCCACCTTCCTCGTGTCTGGGTGCTGAGCAGGGATTGAGGAGCATGAGCTGGCATGGGAGCCCTTACTGAAACATGGGGCTGTGCTCTACCAAGTGTGTTTGACAGCCTTGTGCTCACACTGAGTTTCCCAACCCATGGCTGACTGGCAAAGCAGTACAGAGAGTGTCCCATCCAGCTCCGGGAAACACCCCATGCTTCCAACCAAACCTGGGTTCTCTGTGGCTCAACACAGTGTGCACCCAGCCACTGCAGGACACATCACCCTGTGCTAACCACAGCTGCCCAGCACAGCACAAGCTGTTAACGAAAATGGGGGTGAGGCCAGGCTGGACTTATCCTAGAAGGGAACTGGACAAGAAGGTGGAAGAATGAGAGCGAGAGGAGGGAAAGAATGACTCTGTGGAGGAAACTCTTGACAATATGTGCTTCCCTTTCCTGCTAGTGATACAGGAGGGGTGAGGCAGCAATGCTTGTGGTGGAGGAGAGCCACCTTGCCAGTGCTGTTTGTCATCTCACACACCCTGATGGGCCTTGGCAGCAGCACACCCTTATCTCCAATGCGCTGGCAAATTTGTCTGGGCAGTGGGTTCCCAGCTCACCGAGGCCTGGGCTGCTCTTTGTGTTCACTGCACGCTCCTTCTCCACATTAATTAATTTGGTAGTAAGTCTGGATACCACTTCAGCTTTAGATGGAAAATCTTCATGCATTGCTTAAGCCTTTTGTGGCTTAAAGGGAATATTGTCTCTGTCAGGACGCACAGCAACTGAAATGCCTCCTGTCTCTTGGTGCTGTTATAATGACGGTGCTGGGCCGGGTCTGTGAGTGTGTCGCTGCTCTTCCTTTCACTGGAGTCAGCCTGAGGTTCAGGTTTCACACCTGCCTCTGCTTTATTTATGCCTATTGTGTTATATTTACATATCTCGGGTTATGGAATGCGGCAGCAGCCTCCTCAGGAAGCATTAAGTGAATTCGCATGTGTTGTGCAGTGACCTGCTGGGGACTTCCCAAGGGACAAGCCCTTTCCTTGTCCACAAGCAGCACAGAGGAGCTGCAGAAGACAAGGAATTGGGTTTCTTTTTGAGTGCAAGTGGGTGTATAAAGCCGTCATGCCTTGAAGTTGTTGGTGTCTTTGAAGTTGTGCAGGGGGACACTGGAAAGTTGTGTTGTTGCCTTTGGATCATGCTCACCTGCAATTACCATGATGTTCGTGGGTTTTGTGTTGATGACTGTGTGCTGAGGGTTTTGTTAGGCATTTCACATCCCTGCCCCAAAACATTCTCCAGTTTCATGGATTTCCACAGAAGCCACACAAACATCACATGCCGCAGTGAGCTGGCGCTGTCCCTCACTGCATCCACGGGGGGGGGAACAGGACTTGTCCTTTAAAATTAAGGTTTTTGTGCGGTGTGACTCACATCACCTGCCTCAACAGCCAGAAAACACAAGTGGCCACTGAGGCCCTTCGAGTTATTTGCAACGCGCCAGACACGTGGCCCGGGCTGGGCATGGAGGGCCGGTATCTGTGTTAGGTGCAGCCCCATTCACCCCGCTGTATTGTTAATGGTTACTGGTAAAGCCGCAGCGAGCCAGGAAGCTCCCCTGTCCCGGTGCGGAGCGTGGCCCCGGTTACCGGGAAGGGAAAGGGCAAAGACCGCGATGCCGCGAGGGCTGCCGGGAGCTGCGCGGTGTTATTGTCCCGCAGCATGCAAATGAGACGCGGCCCCCAGCCAATGAGAGAGGTCGTCGGCTGTGGCGCAAGCGCGTTGGGGAGGGGCGGGGCTGACCTCGCCGTCAAGCCCGCTCCGCCGAGCGGCGGGGCCTCAGCACGCGCGGCCAAGATGGCGGCTGCGGGCGGCGGGCGGCGCAGCGGGCACGGCCGGCTCTGACCGGGCCGCCCCACGGCGCGGCGGGAGGGCGTACGGAGGCCTCCGCGGGGCAGTGCCGGCCGGCAGGGGAGTAGGCAGAGCCCCCCTTCGGGGGGGGGGGAGGAGGAGGAGGGATTGTGTGCGGAAGGAGGGGGCCGCTGCCGGCGAGCCCGGCCGTGAGGGGCCGGCGAGCGGGGCGTGAGGGCGGGAGCCTGCCCGGAGGGGTGAGGCAGTCCGCGGTGGGGGGAGGGCGAGGGGCCGGGTTGAGGAGGGGCAGCGCGGGCTGAGGCGAGGCTAGCCGAGCCGGCCGGCGAGCAGGGGAAGGCTGGCTCCCTGCGGCGGGCGCTCGCAGGGCAGGCGGCGGCTGCGCCGGTGGCTCCCCGCGTTCCTGGCTCTCGGCTGCTGGGCGCCCCACGCCATGTTCTCGGTGCTCTCCTATGGCAGGCTGGTGGCCCGGGCAGTCCTGGGCGGCCTGTCGCAGACGGACTCCCGTGACTACAGCTTGGTGACAGCCAGCTGTGGCTTTGGCAAAGATTTCCGCAAGGGCATCCTCAAGAAAGGCATGTGCTACGGAGACGACGCCTGCTTCGTGGCCCGGCACCGGTCGGCTGATGTGCTGGGTGAGTGCTGGCGAGCCCTGCTCGGGGTGCTGGGGAGGGGTTGGTGGCGGTGACCCGGCCTCCTGTGTGAGCCGCACATGGCAAAGCGGCTCATCGGCTGCAGACAAAGGAAGCGGTTCCGCCTGTAAATGTCAGTGCGAGTTCTCTTTTTTTTTTAGCTTAGGAGAAAGCTTTTGTACTCTTTGCCGCAGCACGACACCCACCTCATTTAGCACACCCATTGGGACGGGGTGCTGGGTGCCCAGGCCCAGCCTTGGCACCTCACCTGTAGGTGCCTGCAAGGCCTGGTGCCTCCAAAAGCTGGATAAACGGCGTGTAATATTTCACTTTCCATGTGCCTTTAAACCGTAACCAAGCCCTTTGTGTATGCATTGCGTTTACCAAGAAAAGATTATTGAAACGGACACTTCCTGATTTTTAGCGTGTCCTGTGTCCTTGTCAAGTGAAAGGCAAAGTGACATTGAGACTGGCTTCAAATGTCAAACTTCAGTTTCAGTGTTTGCTCTGTCTTGATTGCACTCTCTGGTTTGTATACACGTGTGAAATGAATCTGAAGGGTTCAAATTTTAGGAGTAGTGAATAATTAGAGATAATGAGTGGAATCTTTGGTTTGTGAACAGCACTCTTCTGACAGTGCTTGACCTTTCTCCTGTGTAGTCAAGGTTGATTTTGGCTAACTGGTACTTTGCAAAAGTTAGTTTTCAAGCAACTGACAGAAGTAAGTTTTCATCAGAACTTTGATATTAAAAAGAAAAAGCTTCCCCCCCTTTTTATTTTTTAATTTAAACCTGGTGGGATTACACTGCAATGTCTTGTGATGTATTGGGGACTCTTCACAAGCCAGTGCTGTTGCCCAGAGCTTGGTTGCTGTTTCATGCTAAGACGTTTCTTCTGGAAGCTTGGTGCTAGTTAACAGTATTGCTGATCATTCTCCAGTGAGCTGCTACTCTAAGGGTGATGCTGCAGCTTTGAAGATGTGGAAAACAGGTCAGTGCATGTGAGATACTCAGCATGTTTTCTGTTGTGCCTATTCCAGAGAAACTTTTTGCTGTTCCAATTAGCTGTTGGACAGCTTTACTTTAGCATGTGACTGAGACTGCCTGCCTTTAAAGTTCACACTAGGCCAGCACTGATAAATAACTGAGCAATCAGGATTTGCCCAGAAGAGAAATGGAGGATCTCCTTTACTTACAGGTGGACTCTTTGCATGGGGAAGCAAGTAGATTTGCACCCATTTGATGATGTTTAGTGGGTTTTGGCCATATTTGGTAATTGCCATATGTGGACCTACAGCTTGTCTTGTCTTCCTGCAGGAATCAACAGAGAATTGTGTTTCTAAGTTGGGCTTTGCATTAATTTTCATGGTGACATGAAAACAAACAGAATTGCAGCTCCACTTTAGGATCAAACAGCAAAGGCGGCTTCAGACCAGTATGTCTTAAACACCAAGGAGAAAATAATTTACACAGAAAAGCTGTTGGGTTGGGTTTTCCCCTGTAAAACTGTTTTCATGTTAATTCTTTATGGATTTTCTAAATACACCTTCCAAACCCCCAAGATCACTGTACATTCTGCAAACAGTAACGCTCAGGATGGGGTTTGATGCAATCCAACTTGATGTTTTTTCTTCATCTGGAGTCCTTCATTTTACAGACATAGTTTACTCTTTGTTTCTGCTGCCACAGTCATCTCTTTGCTCTCCCTTTCTCAACCAGTCCTACACAGCTGCAAAGAGAGTTTCAGCACCAGTGTTCCTGCCTTTAATTCTTGTTGCTCTCATCACAAATGTGAGGTTCCTTAACAATTGTTTTTTAAAGAGCCTCATAAATTTTCTCCTAACTCAATACCTTGCCGACTGCACCTCAGCAGAACTGCCTGAGCTGAGCTGTTCCTTTCCAAGCTTCATTTTTCGGTATTACTTTAATGAAAAGGCTCACGTGGCTTCAGCTGGAGCAAACACTAGACACGGTGAGAGTGCTTGTAGAGAACAGTAAATTTCCAAGTGTATCACTTGGAGTTATCCTGCCCTGGTAGTCATCAGTGACAAAGCCATGCCAGACAATGAATTTAACATTCTTCTGTGCCAGCCTTTTCCAGAACCAATATATGGGAAGCATGCCTGTGTGGGATGGAGATGGGTGTGGTGTAACAGTGAAAGAGCTACTCCCAGCCATTTGGCATGAGTGCTTGGGGATTCATTTTCTTAGGTCAAACAAAAGTGTTTATAGCAGATGCAAATATGCTAAACACTTCTTTTGTTCTATGTATACTGTGTAGTCTCAAGGCTGAAAACAATGTCTTCTAGTCTGTGCTTCATCCTTTCACAGTAAGATCAACAGAAAGCTTATGAAGATTCATGTTGTTTCCAGTCCTCCCTTAGTAGTTAAGGGCTTGATGAGGCCTGTTACTGGTGTACTTGAAGCCTCGAGGGGTTTGACTTATTTTTACTTTGGTCTAGGATGTACCTGTTAAATTTGGATGTTTTCTTCCCATTTTGGGTACAGTGAGACGCAAGAAACTCAGAACCAGGGTGTTTCCTTTGGGATCACTCTGAGAAAAGGAAGTGGCTTTACTACCAATGTTAATCTCTAGAGCTTTATGATTCAGGCCCGTGTTTCCTGCTGCTCATACCATATTGTGTCTTTCTGTGTGTTCACTGTCAGAGTCCTGGTTGTCCAGATCCTCAGGATATTCAAATACCTTCTTGAGATGTGATAGATGTCATGTGCTGCTTCAGGTCTAAAGGCATGCC